TCTGTCTGTCTGTCTGTCTGTCTGTCTGTCTGTCTGTCTGTCTGTCTGTCTGTCTGTCTGTCTGTCTGTCTGTCTGTCTGTCTGTCTGTCTGTCTGTCTGTCTGTCTGTCTGTCTGTCTGTCTGTCTGTCTGTCTGTCGGTCTGTCTGTCTGTCTGTCTGTCTGCCTGTCCGTCCGTCCGTCCGTCTATGTTTCCATTTTTCTGTCTGTCTGTTACTAATAATTAATTACATAGTCCTTATATTTTTGTAATGCAATTGAGTACTACACATTATTGTAAATGATTTAATCATAAGTATTGTTTTGTATCACTTAAAGGTTTGCCGTTTGGGTGGGATTCCAGCTCTTATTCAGCTGCTGAAATGTGACAATCCACAGCTGCAACAGATCGCTGCCGCTGCACTGCGCAACTTAGTTTTTAAAGACAAAAATAACAAGCTTGAGGTGGAACGTTGCGAAGGAATAGAGGCCATTCTGACCTTGCTCAGAAACACCAAGATTATAGAAACACAGAAACAACTCACTGGTAAGACATGCCGCTCTCACTCGGCTCTTTCCTGTGCTTCAACATTTTAATGTGCCGTGTGTCATTTGTTGTCATATGATCTCATCACATCGTATGTGAATATTTTCCTTTATAGTTAAAAGAAAGGGACATGAATTGGTTTTGTGTTCGATATTAATGTGTTTATCGAAAGCTATTTAAAAACGAAAATACAATATGAGGTATGGAGTATGACCCTTTGATGTCTGTTCAGGTCTGTTTTGGAATCTATCCTCGGCTGATGAGCTGAAGCCAAAGCTGATCAAGAACGCCATGCCTCTGCTTACAGAAAGCGTTGTGGTGCCTTACAACTTTTGGACTGATAGCAACACTAACAAACACACTGACCCTGAGGTCTTCTACAACACCACTGGCTGTTTAAGGTGCGTTACAGAAACTGACTGTTGAGTACAAGAACACAGTGACATCTGAACAGATGAGGAATTAAATAATATTTTTAAGCAAAAATATAATAACTGAGATACTTGTTTGTTTCACTTAAAGTCATAGTTCATCCAAAAATGAAATTTCTGTCATAATTTAGGCACCCTTATGTCATTCCAAACTGTTTTTTTTTTTCATGGAGCACGCACACACACACACACACAATAATAATTGTTCCATTCATTAAGATTCCTGTCAAGAAACTCTAAAAAGGCACTGTAAAAGTAACAATTAGTACTATATTCCAAGTTGTAAGACAGCTTATGTCATTTCCCAGAGAAATAACAGTACACACTATTGAATGACATGAGGGTGAGTAAATAACTCTTACTTTGTCAAATGCATAACCACACACCTGATTGCTTACTTAGTACCTTGATAAAAATCAGACCACAAAGTCTATGCACATTTTCCACATTCACTTTCTTGCATGGTGGCCTATTGTGCCGATAGGGCTGTTTTTAGCTTCAGTGGGTTTTTTTTTGGCAAGAACAAGTGAAATATAGTCACACTCTATTTATCAAATGATGGCATCTTTAACACCCAATAATCCCTCACACGGGCAATGACTTGAAACACTAAACCACCTGACTGATGCTTTATAATTCATCCGTGCTCATCATCAGCAGATTTCTCGGAACTGTCATGTTGTTTCATGCAAGTTTTCATACCAGCATTGCATAATTAATTGCCTAACTTGTTTGTTATCGGAGGCAGATCACAAGATGTTGACGTACTTGGGTTGGACAGAAAAAGGACTGTTACACCACAGATTGGCATATACTGTATGTAATCATTGTACGGCTGTGCAAAATTAATGTCTGTTTTAATGTTAAGTTCTGGCTGTACTCTCGCAGAAACCTCAGCTGTGCTAGTGAGCAGGAGAGGAGGTCGATGAGGAGCTGCCCAAGACTTATCAACTCTCTCATGACCTACGTTAAGACTCAAATGGAAAGAGGCGATCCAGATGACAAGGTTATCATGCTTTCATTTTGCTGCATGATCTCCAAGCTCTTACACTACATTGAAAAATATGTGGACACTGAAACAGATGCCCTAATGTTAGAATGCACAAGGTTCTCTAAAACTGATTTGCTCTGAAATTAATAAATGTGTAAAATGATATTGTAAGATGGAAATAAGGTGACTAACTAAACTTGTTTATTAAAAGAAGGGTGTAAAATTACACAAACTGTAATTTTTATTTAACTTAATCTTTATTTAACCTATTATTAAATAATTTTTAATTCATAGAGCCAGATTTACTAACAGCTTGTGCCAGTGCAAACTGTCTTTTGGCGTTAAAATAGTACTGTCAGGATTTACTAAATTACTTTTATGGAATTGTGCTCTAACACTAATTTGACCTGTTTAGTAAATCTGGCCCATAGAGTTTTAATGTCTACCAGAATACTCCAATATAATGCCAAAAACTGTAGTTCAACAAGCTGAAAGTGACTTCTGTGTCCTGGTTCTGTTTGTTTTGTTGATGTGGGAGCAGTCGGTGGAAAACTGTGTCTGCATACTTCATAACTTGAGTTACCAGCTAGAGAAAGAGGCTCCAGATCACTTCAAACAGTTCTCTGTTCTTGATGAGAAACCGAATGAGAACACTAACAAAAAGAGCCTCTTCAGCCCCAAGAGCACCAAGACCCAAAAGGTATGAGCTGTTGCTGATAAAACGACTAGCATGCAGGATGTTTTGGATGCTTGTCATGAGATGCTGACTTGACTTAAAAGATAAGTTTTCAAATAAAAATAAAACTCTCATTATTATATTCCAAACGCATATGACTTTCTGTATTCTGTGGAACACATCATGAGAAATATTACGCTCCTGGAGCTTTGAAAAGTGTCTTTTGAAAAGTTTTAAACCAAAAAATATATTTGAAATAAATGCAGTTCCAGAAAAATATTAAGCAGCACAACTGTTTTCAACCTTGATAATAATAATACATGTTTCTTGAGCAACAAATCAGCATATTAGAATGATTTCTGAAAGATCATGTGACACTGAAGACTGGAGTAATGATGCTGAAAATTCAGCTTTGATCACAGGAATAAATTACATTTTAAAATATATTCAAATAGAAAACCGTTATTTTAAATTGTAATAATATTTCACAGGATTACTGTTTTTGCTGTATTTTTTATCAAATAAATGTAGCTTTTGTGAGCATAAGAGACTTATTTAAAAAACGTAAAATCTCACTGGCTCTAAAGTTTTGAAAAAAAAAGAGAAAGAAATCTTGCATTTCTCTGAAAATGCAAAGTCACACAGGTTTGGAAAGACATGAAGATGAATAAATGATTTGGGGTGAAATCATACTTCAACCAGCAGTACTTTTTGATCATTTCCATACACCCAACCAGCAATGGACCAACATGGAAATTCATACCATTAATAATAAAACTGGTCTATTCATATTATTAACCACACAGTATAGTTTAGACAGCAGTTTCAAGTTGACTGAGTGTTTAAAAGCCGTCTTCAATACATTCACAGTACTTTTTGTTATCAGGAGTTCAACTTTCCAGCCATGGCGAAGGAAGATCCTGAAGGAGTGGATTGGTTGTACAACCAAAAGTCGCTGCAGATGTATCTGTTTCTACTGGGCTTAAGTCGGAACGAGGCCACTCTAGAGGCATGCTGTGGAGCCCTGCAGAACCTGACCGCTTCAAAGAGCCATGTATGTACACTTGCTGCAAATATACATGCAACTGAACTTAAGGAAAAGTTGTTCGACTTGTATTTTGACCTCTGCACAGTTGTCCACTCTGATGAGTCAAAGCATCATACAGAAGCCGCATGGCCTGTCTGGCATTTCACACCTGCTGATATCAGGAAACCCGGGCCTGCAGAAGACCGCCATGTCCTTAGTGGGCAACATGTCCCGGGTGTCATCTCTACGGGGTATTATGGGTAAGAGTCTTTTGTAACACTCAAGTGCCACTACTAATGAAAGAGTGTTGTCAGTTCTGTGTTCTGTGTTGTGCCTGTTAAGTAACATCTGCACAAGCACAGGAACAGACAAGAAAATGTAATTCGAGGAGAGTGTGCTGTAAGTTAGTCTCCTGAAACTCTGCTTGCTGGAGGTACTTTTGTTTCTCACTCTCTCAACAGCAGGTCTGTGTTTGTGTGAATGGACGCCAGCAGATTGTCAACTGATACCCCAGAGGCAGTAAAAATAACAATCTCCTACCCAATGCATTTTCTAAACACGACTTAACAAAAATTGTTCACTATTTAGTTCATCTGATATGATTCCTCTAAATGGTATCTCGTGACTAACATATATGTCATGCAAGTGTTTTATCCAACATTTTATTATACAAGAAATGTACAATTAATACTGAGGCCAGTTACCTAAAACATGTCATGTTAGTGTTATATTGCTTTTATATAACATTAGTTAGTCAGTAAGAAATCTAACAAGACATTTTATTTATTAATTTATTATTTTTTTCATTATGTATACAAGAAATATGCATTATATTAATGTAAAGGAAATTACCTAAAATATGTCATGTAAGTGTGATATTGCTGTTGTTTGTGTGTTTTCATATTTATGAAATTATTAAACATGAAAAATTATTACATTATGTATAAAATAAATATACAGTTAATTTATATCAATGTCAGTTAACCGAAATATATGTCATGTAAATGTTGTATTGCTTTTAAGCAATATTTGTTTGTTTGTTTAAGAAATATGCAATTAATTAATATTGATAAAACATATGTCATGTAAGTGTTATATTGCTTTTTTGCAACATTTACTTTTTTATTTACTTACTTACTTGCTTATTTAGTTCTTTACAATTGATTAATATTGAAGCCAGTTACTTAAAAATACATCAAGTGTGATATTATTATTATTATTATTTTATTTGTTTGCTTAATATATATATATATATATACAGTATATATATATATATATATATATATATATATTATGTGTACAACAAATATAGCATTTATTTTCTTTTATTTATTCATTCATTCATTCATTTTAATATGTATTAAATTATTACATATATTAAAAATGATCATATTATGTATGCAGTAGTAATTATATTTACAAGAAAAAGTCATTAATATTGAGGCCAGTTACTTATGTATGCCTCCTCCAGTGAAAAAAAGCTTGCAGGTCAACAAGGATCATACAAAATGAAATATTGTTGTACACAGTGTGCTGTACTTTACTTGAACATTGCATCAGTTCATTGATCCCTGATGTCCATGATGTTTTTGTCAACCACAGCCAAGGAAATTCTTCCCAACGTCAGTGCTGTTCTGTCGGCTGTGACACCGAACATGGTTAAGTCTGACAGCACCATCGCTACAGCGTGCCGTGTGATGAACACACTCATGCTGGCAGAGCCCGACACTGGCAAGAAGAGGATCAACACCAAACTCGTCGACTCTCTGAGCATGCTGAGCTCAAATGTGTAAGTATTTCCAAAGAAAAATGCACGTATAAAAGTGAAACTAGGGCATTAGCAAGCTCATGGTTGAAGTTTAGAGGGAAAGAAATCAACAAATGACAAGTTTTGTGATAGCCACCCATATATGACAGTTACTCTGTAGGAATTTGATGTGTATTAGCAGATACCCTGCTGAGAATCTCTGTGTTTCGCAGATTATTTGACACAGCCAGAAAATCTGCTGGAATTCTTCTCTGGAGTATGTGGGGACAAAAAGACATCCAGAATGCGCTGAAAAAGGTAAGACTGTCCTGCCTCAAACTACACACAGGCAGTAAAGCCTTTCCCGATCAGTGCAATAGAGGCACAGCTTTGAAAGTCTTTTAATGGTTCAAAAAAAAAGATAAAAATATTAGTAAATTAAATAAAATTTAGGGCATTTATAATTTTATATATAAATGCAGATTATATATTTTTATTAATTAATTAATTTATTTTTTACCTGTTAATCTGATAATAAGATTTTTGCATTGCATTGTAAAATTATTTTCATTTTACTTCCTCAACTGGCATTGTTGTCCAAAAAACAAAAAAAACAAAAAACGAAAATTATATATACACGCATCCTATTGTGTTTGTAAAGTTATCATAAAGAGATATTTTTGAAAATGTTGAATTTTTACTGTGTAGGAAAAAACTTCTTAGTACTTTTGATTTTGGTACTCCAATGTTCTCAGCAGATGTGTAAGATTCGCCTGTTCAATTGCATAACAGCATTTGAAAACTGACATTCATTACATAAAGCATCTCACAAATACAAGCACATTTTGTCATTGGAACTGCACTGTTAGGATGAAACAGCATACCTAAGAAACGTTAGTTCAGAGTGGTTAATCACAAGATGCTGTTAATGATTTCAGAGGAAGAGCGAAGTTATATTTTCACAAGTATTTCCTCATTATGAAAGGATTTATGATGGGAGGGCAAAGAAAAAGGAAGCAACATCTGGTTGTAAGAAAGCAGAGAAAGCAGGGTGTGGTAGGGTGTGTTCACTTTTTCTTAGATTTTTTTCCTGCTTTGAGGGAAAAGGAAATCCCCAGGCTGCGATCAATCTTTCTGTCTGTATGCTAGTTTACACATCAAATAAGACTCTCACTCACTTGCATGAATAGTCTTCACACACACACACGCACACTTCCAGGCCCTGACATGTACTCCACCCAACCCTGGAAGAGGATCAGCGGGATAAGACAGGAATCCAGGGAGACGAGTTCTTTCTCTCTGCTTGTTTAAAAGGGCATGGGCAGAGCAAACGCCTTTCACACAACACACTCCTCATGTGACCCTTTTTTTTGATCACATAAAGCTGATTTAGATCTTTAGGCTTACATCGCTATAAAGCTGTCTGATCCATGTTAATCTGAGTTTTTTTTTTAAGCAGCCTTGAGAACCATTCAGCCGATCTCCGGGTCTGGCGTAGCACTTTTAGCTGTAGCTTAGCATAGCTCATTGAATCTGATTAGACCGTTAGCATCTCGCTCAAAAATGACCAAAGAGTTTCGATATTTTTCCTATTTATTGATTTATTGATGCAATGATATTACGCAGCGCCTGAAAATAGTCCCCAGCTAAGTAACTTCCAATAAGCTTATTTTCAGGCGCTGCGTAATATTAGAGTATTATAGAGTATAGTTCCTAGCCATATCGGCCTAGAAAATCACAACTTTTAATTTTCGGTCGGTCTTAGTACACGATGTAACTACAGAAGAGTCAAGTTTTAAATAGGAAAAATATAGAAACTCTTTGGTCATTTTTGAGCGAGATGCTAACGGTCTAATCAGATTAAGGTTGTAAGTTAATTAAATTGCCATTAAATGTCATTAAAACTTTCGACATTTGACTATTTTTCTTACTGTCTGCATTAAATATACATTAAATCTGATACATATATAATTTGAATTAAATCTTAAATCTTATTTTTATGAAAAAAAAAAACTTTTTTGTTGGTACAAATTTTGTTGATAAACTCAAGGTAGGAAATAAATAAATAGATTTTAATAAATGACAGATACTGTTTATTTATTTGCAGAACAGAAAATGCAGGGATGTGCAAGTAATATTTAAATATTTATGTATATATAATAAAAATATTTTATAAAATATAATTATAATAATATATTAGGTGTGGATTTTGTCTACCACAATAATGTCTTTTGAATTATTTTCATTGGAGTTATTTGTTTCAGCAAATATTGATATATGTGATTGATTGTGATTTAATGCGAATCACACATTTAAGCATTTCATGTCGTTGATGCCATTTTGACATTTTTAACCTGTTGACAGCAGGAATATTACAAACAGTTTATGTAGTTGTTGTTGTTGTTGTTTTTGATCGTTCGGTCAATGAGTAGTGAACCTCAGGAGCTCAGACAGGCATGTGTAAACACGTGATGAGCAGTGATTCAGTGCAAAACCACCACATGCATTTGGTTCTGAGAGCTTTCACACTGATAATTGTGATGGTGATGTGTGTCGTTTTGAAAGGACAACAATGCTCCATTTATAGTTTTGACCTTTTATTCTTTTGTAGCAAGGGATGAACAAGGACACGTTTATAAATGCCATCACTGCTTCAGCATACGAGGAAGCAACACGCATGAATGGACACTGAGAGATGTGCAAGTGAGTGGAAAGACACTTGCTTTTACTTCATTTTATTATATTGCCTGGATTCTGATACTTTTCATGCTTTTACTTAAAATATATCTTTTTTTTTTTTATTTCAGTTTTGCAGTGCTGCAAGAAGCCACAGAGTTTCAGAGAACTGCCCTGCTTTCATATATTGCAGGACATTATGGTTATATGCGGTACATATTGTAGATTTAATGGGATTCCTGCAAAGTTTTTGCAAAAAAAAAGACCCTTAAAGTATGATAAAGGGTTTGCATGATGCTATATTCCAGATGCTTTATGTGAAGAACAGACCAAAAATGTACCAAAAGTAAATATCCTTTCAGGTCTCTTCAGGGCAGTGGTTCACAAGACTGCGACTGATTCGTTCATGAATTGGACTGATCTGGAATTTAGCACACAAGTCATTTGGATGGTTTTTATGATATTTTAATGGCGCTTTTCTATCGTTTTTAAACGTGAAATCCACTGATGGAGGAATAATAAATCGCCCGTTTTTCTGGTCAGCCCAGATTACCGGCTAATGTGGCTGCTGTACTGCTAGTACAGGCCTGTTTAGTGCCTAATACACAGATATGCATATATCTATCATGGGAAAGAGTTTGTACACTTATGCTTGACAAACTTGCACTACTGGTCCTGCAGAGTAATAAATCCACTCTTATTCTTCTGCTTTCCTTCCCCTGTCCTCCTGTGCTGTATATTGGGGATCATAATACATGTTGGATAAAGCTTTTGCATTTTGGTGCAATGAGGCCTGAATAGTTGTCGGTTTCTAAACATGCTCTTACGTCGCAGTTAGTAAAAACCTTCAGTATAAATGCAGCACTTTATTTCTTCTCGATGTCCACTTAAGTTGTTCTGAGGTAGAGTTAGGAATGACAACCAGCAAACACTTTTATAAACCGTCAGTGATGAAATGTGATTGAAATAATGTCAGTCGAAAGAAAAACATCGAAACAATGTTAATACTAATTAAAAGTAAGTTGGATGAAAAGTACGATTTTGAAACATCATTGTTGATTTGATTTGAAAAAATCTAGATGAAAACCAGAGTGATTCATCATTTGAATGCCTGTTGGATTGGAACTTAATGAACTTTCGGTTGCATTCGCAGCTCTTGATGTGTTGCCTTTAGGGATGGGCGTATCGATCCGAAGTATCGATATATCGATACTGACGCGAGTATCGAAAGTATCGATACTCAAACAAAAAATATCGATACTAAGGTGCATTTTATTTACCAGTGGTTTTGTTTATTTAACAAAAATAATAATAATAATGCGTACAATATGCATTGAATTGGACGAATAACCTTTGTTAGCGAGTAACTGTGTAGGATAGAACTATTTTCCTGCTCATCTGAACACACGCAAATGTTGCAAGACAGAACCAATCAATCACAGAGAGCATTCACTCACTGCTGACAGTGCATTCAAACAGTGCTGTGTTTCCCAAAAGTATCATAAGAAAGCATTACAGCTTTTGGGAATGGCAGCCCTGAACAATGCTTATCAGAGGACAGTTTGGGATTAAACGGGTTAAAATGCATTTTAAACATAAAGTTAAGTGGTTTTCATTACCCATTTTACTCTTAGTAATTTAATAATTTCATAAATTTCATAATTTAAAAGTTTAGTGCAGAAGTATCGAATCGGTATCGATATCGACGATACTGCCTTGAAAAATATCGGTATCGTATCGAAAACAAAATAAGGGGTATCGCCCATCCCTAGTTGCCTTCTTCAACTTAAAGCAGCACTATGTAACTTTTCTGTGTTCAAAAATTGCTAAATGTATATAATGAGCGAGTACATCATGAATTCATCTTCCGCCGTTTTGTCTTATCCCGAATCACTACGGTACACTTATAATAAGTGCTTATATTTGGACTATTGTAGCCTGGTCGGGTCGTCTCCGCTGCGGAGTAACACATACCTGCGTGAATCGCCAGAGACATAAACTTAGAGAAGTAGCTCCGGTTGGAATGTTCTTCCGCGGGATGTGTGCAGTTCTGTTTATTAACCGCTACAGCGCCAAAAGTTACATAGAGTTGCTTTAAGTGGACTGAACGCTGTGTTAAATTCAGTTCTCACCTACTGTAGAATCAGAAGAACCATCTTAAACTTTAAAGGTCTAATGGCAATATCTGTTGTTTCTGTTTTACATTGTTAGCCACACATAATTCTACTGTAAACACGTTATATGAAAAGGACGAAGCGCAGTTGAGTGGTATATATGCAGCTTTAGATGTGGCTTATGTTCCTTCTTGGCAGTGTAAAGATGTTTTTGGACTTTTGGGTATGGTTGCATTTTAGGAGATTTAATGCTAGATGCATTCACTGAAATGGGAAATAATTTTTCGTAATTATAATGATGAAATATTGCTATATTTTGAAAAATGAAATGCTGCTTAGAGCAGTAAATGCAAAATGAATTGTTTTCTAGATATACAGTAATATATGTTTGATTGACATCCTTTTTTTTTTAAACTAAACTTGCCTTTTCTGTGTGCTGTTTGCTGTGATATTGTATTTTGTGAGGATTATTTTTATTTGACGTTTGTTTGGCTGGAATGTGTTTCAAATGTGTCTATGCTTGTGGGAAACTGTATAGATGTTTCCCATTTTATTATGTTGTCAAAAAGCAAAATAGAAAAGACAAACAGAAAATTAACAAACAAAAAGAAAATAATAATAATAATAAATAATATTTTTGTACTAAAATATTAAATGTGGCTGTGTAAAATTGCATTTTGCATCTACATGACCAAAATGTGCATTTTAATCTTGCATAAAAATAACAAAAAAATAAAAGTGCGATTCAACAAGAAGTGCTTTATGGTGTGTTGCTTTTACCGTGCATGTTAGATATAAATGTATTGAATTTGTGATATTTATAATCATTTGTCAGTTATTTACAGTATAAGCAATATATACATTTACAGTGTGAGTGAATATGAAAGATGATTTATTGAGGAGGAAAAACCCTCTCATCCAGTGTTCACCGCAAATCAGTCATTATGAGAAATATGGCATGTTGGCTGACAAGACTTTCCTTTTTGTGATTTATTTAGAGGCTAAAATATAGTTGGCATTAAACCTCAAACATAAAGGTGCATCTCAATAAATTAGAATGTCACGGAAAAATGATTGTGTAGCCTAGTGAACCAAACTGAGAGACCATTTTGAAGGCTCAGGAAACCTTTGCAGGTGTTTTGAGTTGATTAGCTGATTGGCACCATATTCTAATTTGTTGAGAGAGTGAATTGGTGGGTTTTTGTTAAATGTGAGCCAAAATCATCACAATTAAAAGAACCAAAGACTTAAACTACTTCAGTCTGTGTGCATTGAATTTATTTAATACACGAGTTTCACAATTTGAGTTGAATTACTGAAATAAATGAACTTTTCCACGACATTCTAATTCATTGAGATGCACCTGTATGTCTTCATTGAACAGACCGATTATGGAAAGTCTTTTCCCCATCAGAAAGCAGACATTTATCACTTCTCAAGAAAGCAGTTGTATTAATTGATCTGCTTGTTTTATGTTTACCCAAGATCTCCACCCTACCGTAGAAACGGCGGGCGACGAGCCAGGAGACGCTTTTATGAGTCACACACATTCCACAGTGCAATTATCACAGTTCCCGTCACAATATTGGAGAGCTTAAACACTGGACTGCAAATCCACCAAAAATGACATCTGTGCATAGCAAAGGTCCTATTTGGTGCTGCGTTTAACATGTTCTACTCATGATTAGTGGAATCATTGTTTTGTGCAAATATTACTTTAAAAATATTACCTGACTTTTGTTTCGGACGGGCCCTTGCTCAAGCAAATAGTGAATGTGAATAGCAGAACAGTGAGTGTTGTATATGTTCCTGTGCCAGATGTTAATATGCAAATCATTTAAGATGAGAATCTCCTGACCTCTTTGACCCTGAAACTACAGAAAGGCCTGAGGGGGACATTAACAGAGCAGCTGGGTGTGTGTTATTGTGCATCATATGAAGATGTGTATTACCTTTATACTGGGCATGAATACCTTTCTTTCTTAGGTGTAATTATAGTTAAGTATGTAGTGCGTTTACATGAAGATTTAAAATTCAAACACGTTTTTTCTGTTTAAGATAATTGGGCACCACTTACTGAATTGAACGTGCAGCATGAAACTCATGTGATGGAGTGGTGAGTGGTTCTGAACATTGTTTTAGCAGATTTGCATTCGTTCTGGCTCCATATGGAGATGTAACATCCCACTTTTTACCATCCAATCAACTGCTGATGGATAAAATCAAAGTCCTGCCTACCTTATATCTCATTAAATATCTTATTTCACTCACACACATATTCAAGTCAGTACTTTGACTTGAGAATTACAGTTCTGAATCCAGAGCCTATAGCCGGATGGTGAAATCATGCTGTAGAGTTGGAGTGGCAGGGAAGACAAGAAGCTTAGTTTTCTATTTGAATATATTTTAAAATGTCATTTATTCCTGTGATGCACAGCTGAATTTTCAGCATCATTACTCCAGTCTTCAGTGTCACACAATCGTTCAGAAATCATTGTAATATGCTGATTTCCTGCTAAAAAAAAAACATGTTTTATTTTTACATCCGTGTTGAAAACTTGTGCTGTTTTGTGGAAATCTCGATATACTGTATATTTTAACCCTTGTGCGTCAATTAAAAAAGTTACACATAGGTCCATAGTGGACAAAAATGTCCATGTCAAAAAAACTGTCATAAAAATTTGAAGCTTGGGAGCACAGAGTTAAGTAAAGAAAAGACCCATGGCAGATTATTGTTGAAGTAAAAAAGTTTAAAAAGTGAAACCAAAAAAGAAGTTCTAGACCCAATATAATGAAAGCCTATCAACAAAAATTGCATAATTTTACAGTTAAATGGCATTGCGATTAAAAATAGCAGTTTTAATGGGTTTCAATGGGAACATTTTTGTCCTTAAGGTCCTGAGGGGAACAATTTTTTGTCCCTAGTGCAAAACAGATTTATTAAAGGAAATGGAAGTGAAATAGTAAAATTCCAATAAAAATACACACCTGTGCCAAAATGTATGCAGTTGGCAATAACACAGGCAAAATGATCAAAAAAACAAAACTGAAAAGGACAAAAATGTCCAAAAGGTCGCACAAGGGTTAAGATTCTTTGATGAATAAAAAGTTAAAAAGAACACCATTTGCAATATAAATCTTTTGTAACATTATAAATGTCTTTACCATCACTTTTGATCAATTTAGTGCATCCTTGCTGAATAAAAGCGTTAGTTTCTTTCTGACTTTAAACTTTTGAACGGTTCTGTACACAAGTTAATAAAATCACTTTTTCTGCTTCATTTTTTTTTTTTTTTTTTTTTTTTGTTTAGTTGTTCAATCAAAATCTACAGTGTTTATTCAGTGAGGACTAACTAAACGCATCAGAATACTATACACAGCTCTCCAGGACAGTCTCTTCATGATCTCTGTGGGTTTGTGAGGAGTCGAGTCGATTCACTTCCTGAGGCCTCTCTTGGTCTTTGTCCTGTAGAAGAAAAAAATAATAGGCAAGAGCCTTCGGTTTACCTTACAGCTCTAAACCATGATTTGTTTTTATGTCAAATTTAAGAGTGCACTAGCATGACCTCAAAACCCGACAAAAAATGCAAGAGTTTATCATTATGTATTGCTAAGCTATATAGCTACAATAGTCATCTGATAAGCAATAAATAAAATAAAATAAATAAATACATAGCACACATACATCTTAGATTAAATAGTCATTTTTTCACTCAAAGGTGCATTCAGAAGTTTGGTGCTAATTTAGAAAGTTCGCACATTAAGAAATACACTGTTTTTGTGAAGAGTCATCTGTATTGTGTAGAATGAGATGAAGACTGTACTCATAATATACTCTGTAAAAAGTGTTTTAATAGCCTTCGGTTTACCTTACAGCTCTAAACCATGATTTGTTTTTATGTCAAATTTAAGAGTGCACTAGCATGACCTCAAAACCCGACAAAAAATGCAAGAGTTTATCATTATGTATTGCTAAGCTATATAGCTACAATAGTCATCTGATAAGCAATAAATAAAATAAAATAAATAAATACATAGCACACATACATCTTAGATTAAATAGTCATTTTTTCACTCAAAGGTGCATTCAGAAGTTTGGTGCTAATTTAGAAAGTTCGCACATTAAGAAATACACTATGTTTTTGTGAAGAGTCATCTGTATTGTGTAGAATGAGATGAAGACTGTACTCATAATATACTCCGTAAAAAGTGTTTTAATTAAATATGATGTGTGTCACCTCATCATCATGATGGCATCATTGGTGTTTCACTGAACATTGAAGAAAATATACATATATCCCAACGTATCACCACGTCGCATATGCAAATGCAGTCTCAAATACAGCAATTTGATTGGCTGCTGTGCTTTTTGATGCCAAACTGAGTTGACACGGTTAGATTTCACGCTTTCTGTTTAAAGGGTTTTGTCCCCATCCGCCTTCCATACTCTGTACATATGCTAGTAGCGTATGTTGTTTGGTGAGTCGTAGCGCGAAAATTAGACAGTGAACGCTTATTATCGCAATTTACCAGCAGAGAAAACAGTAGAATAAGCAGAAGAGAAGCAGAAGCTCCAAAGCCAGAAAGACCGATAAAGTAAAAAAAACCAGTGTAAACATCGGTAGCCTAAGTCATACACAAGGAGGAAAGATTGAATGATGGAGAAAATCCTGAGTAGTAGCGCTCAAGTTGCTTGTTTGTGCATTTAGACAAGTAAGGGAATTAATTACTGTGTAAACAGCTCTCTAAAACTTACGTAACTGTAATTTACATAACTCAGGGCAGTCATGCTGATAGCATCTATAGCACCATTGTGGTAAAAGCTAACGCTAGCTGAAAAAAACTACTGAATGTACCTTTACATTTGGCCAGCATGCTTTTTAAAATGTAAGTGGGCACCAATGTCTTAAGTAAACTGGTCTTCTATCTGGAACTGATCTTCTATCTCTGCTAAGTAATCACGCTGATTCTGGACATGCACAGGTAAATGCTGACTTTGCAGCAGCAGATTGCAACCCAAAGCCTCCATTCCCTGAAGTGCTTTAGTTTTGGCTCTCGCAAACGTTTTCTGCCACAGAAGCAGCGGTGCCAGCTGACAGGACTGTCACTCTGACATGCATTCACAAGGACTGGTGTGTCTATGTTCCAGGCCTGAGGCAGGAACGGATGAGTCAGAGTTTGTTTTGAATGAGAAAGCCCTCCGGGAAGTATCAGGTTGAAAAAAAGGCAATATACCAAACCTTGAGAGAATATGGCAGGTATGTGTTAAAGCAAAATAATGCCAGATCCAGCTCAGTGGACAGCAATCACCAACTTGCCAATCTTCTGAGTGCCAAGTTTATTCATCTGCATGCAGATTTGACGATGAGTAGATGATGCATAATAATACATCTCTAGTAATGAAATTCAACAACTATTTTACATTTTGGTGAGTTGGTGGATTATTCATATGAGTTTGTAAGATCTCATGCATACGTTTTTATATAATCTGCTTATGCCACAATAGCTATATTTATATGCACCCAAATAATCAATTTATAATTAGATTGATGGTTCAGTTGGACTGAAAAGCCTTCTTGTAAATGTCTCAATCAAGCCATTGAGCTCAATCCAAAATACATTTCAATCAGATTGAAAGGTGCGACAAACACTTGCCAAACTATTGTTGTAGTTTATTTATGTTGTGTGCGTGAAATAGACACTAGCACAGTCAAAACAAAAGAACATTGTGAAAGCTATTTTGGCTGAAAAAAAAGTGTTGTTTGCTGAAATTTTGGGGTCTTAATAATATTTGCACTGTGCATAAACATTACATTGAATATTCAGCAAACTTTTGTTATAATTTATACAGGAAATGATGTCATCAAGGCAAAAATAGCAACTAGAAACTGTGTGTGTGCTGAATATGTGAATCGGACTGCAACATCTAAGAGTTTTCGAACAGAATTCTCAGAATCTGAAATCATATTGAATTCATTATGGTTGACAAAAATTAGTGCATGTAGACATACCTAATGACGGGTAAATTTAGGGGTGTTTATGTATTTTTTTAAATGTTTTTTTTGTCTTACGAATCACACTGGGTGAATCCATACGAAAAAAGCTTTTTTTTTCATGAAACTGGGTTGGACAGACACAGATGAACTCACGTTTTCTGGTGATCACTGACTCTGTTCCTCAGGACATTGATCTGTAGAGAGATCCACAATCACAAACACTAAACATCTCACCGGATAACATCTCATCTCTCAGGATAATGCAGATGATTGAGTTATTTGTGCAAACTCTGAACAATACTTTCATTTTGTTTCTGCATAATTAGATCCAGGAAGACATTAGATTCAAGTGAATAAGAATGCTTTTCTAATATATAATTTTAAGTCAACATGAAATGGTATTCGCAACTCATTTTACTTACATAAAATGATGCTGTAAACTTATATTATTTACTGCCTAAACTGTAAGACTGCAATGCTGACAATAGTAGCCTCAATTGACTATCGCTTAATATTAACCAACCAGCCAGAAAGGACCAAGATATTGCATTTATATAACATGAAGTGTTGATTTGTACACATTAAAACCAAAACGGGTTATTTCTGATTTCATTGACTCTGTGGGTTCTAGTAAAACTCTTCAGCTTACGTCATATTTCTGATGGGTAAACTGGTACTGTAACTCAAACTTCTCTGCTTCTAGTTGACACATCCAACTCCACAGTTCCTTTGCTTTCTCCCTGGTAAAAAAGAAAGAGAAAGTAGTGTTATTTTTATTAAATCTTCTTAATTGCTATTTGTATTTGTACTCAATGGAATACAATTACAGAAGTTAAGTAGTGGTAAAAGAAGCCAATGGAAGCCGAAATAGTTTTGTTTCCAAACATTCTTCAAAATATCTTCTTTTGTTTTCCATAGAATGAAAGCCATACAGGTTTGGAACAACAAAGAAGTGAATAAAATGGCAGAATATTCATTTCTGCATTGAGCATCTTTTTAACTGTGGTAAAATTGTACTGCTTGAACTGTTGTGGCATATTAATCAGTTGCATTTGTAGAAAGACTCTTCAAACCTGAGAGCAGAGTCGCTGGCATTGTCAGTGTCCAAAGGTTTGCGCCGATCGCTAAGAATCTTCTTCTTCTTCTCTCTCTCAGTCTGTTTCTTTCCACTCCGTCTTTCTATCTGCAAAACAAAATTGTAGAGAACAGTATTGACAATGTATTTTAATAAAACATTGATATTGATGATGAATTTTCTGTTTACCCATGTTAAAGTGTCAGTATGTTTTAAAATGCAAATCATTCTAATTTGCTGTTTTCTTGCTTAAAAAAATTATTAGCAATGATAAAAGTAGTTCTGTCATAACACCTCTCGGAGGGATTGGCATGGTAATATACATGACAATGTTAATGTATTTGGTCTTGGCGGAATAGATCTTCTACGCTGCTGCGGCAGAGCAAGTACTGAGACTTGCTACTGCCAATACATCCACAACGTGCTGCTGTGAGCATGTAAGAAATATTGCTGCTGCAAATATAACATACATGAAATAACCCCCATATAGCATACAGGAATCACCTCGTAGCAGATCTATACAGGTGGAGCTGGGGAAGGTGGAGGGTTTCTGAAGCAATCTGCAACTGCTACGGCAAGCACTAGTCATATATTTGGATGTTGAGCAGTGAGCTCATTGGCTACCAATACAGGAGAGAGCCAATCAGCTGTGCCATGTGATAATGATGTCATTAGGTCAGATTGAGTTAGACCTATCGGACTGCGCCATCTAGAGTTTCAGAACTCTGTATTTGTTAAGTGTTGCTTAATATTAAAGAAACTGTGATACACTTTTTTCATGTTTCATCATGTTTCTTAACAGCATTTATATGAAACAAAAAACAATATATATATATATATATGTCATATCCATCACCATGCTAAAATGTTTCGAGAGTTGTCATGATTGAACTATATATTAGTTGAATCTTCATCTCAGACGTGGCCATTTTTGTAAATATTGTTCAGATTTCTCTCACTAAACATTTTTGAAACTCAGTGGGTCTTTATCATAGTCTCTCATCTCTCAGCTCTGACCTTCTGCATGTAACCACCGAAGTGCAGACTGGTGAGCGTCTTCTTCTTCTTGGCATCGTCCTCCGCTCTCTTTTTGGCTTCCTCTTCCTCCTTGCGAGCTCTTTCTTCCTGAACATTTGAAAACAGGAAAGGATTTGCAAAGCTAGTACCAGTTTGTGTCCATCAGTGTGAGGTTAGAGGAAATGTTTGCACTCACTTCCAGACACTTCTGTCGTTCCCTCTCGCGCTCGCTGCGGATCCTCTGCTGCTCTGCTCGCTCGGAGCGCCGTTTCTCCTGCGGAATCACTCACATTACAACTCTAATGACAGTTTCAGTGAGAGATCACTCAACAAGAGTTCATGGGGGTGTTTATTCTGCAAAATGACAGAGCTGATTGATTTGACGCTTGTCTGTTGAGTCCTTTTCAGGCTCATTCAGGCTTGAACTGATCACTAATAGACCTGCTGGAATGTTTTTACTCTGGTTCACATATTTGCCATAATGACCGCATGTTTGTCATTTCTCTGTTTTTGTCTTTAGGAAATAATTAATTTATGGTTAATAGCTTTACATAGTAATAAGCAGCTATAATGTAGGACAACATTGCTGACTTACAATCCTCTCTTTAAGACTGATGAATTCCTCCTCCTCCTTCTTACGGCTTTCAAAGTGAGCTTCAATCAGCGTCTGGAGCTCATTCAGGTCCTTCTCCATACGCTTGCGATGGATGTCCTGGGGGGAAAAGCATTTGACCTTTGAGATTGAGATTTGAGAGTTGAGACCGTTGATGTGCAACAAAATGTGCAAGTTCAGGTAGACAAAAGCATAAATCAAAAGCTCATGTTTCAGTAACTGGCATCTAAAATGTCTGGGTCGAGTGAAACATTCTGATGCCTTTGTAGATTTGCCGGTTTCTACAAATCTTCTAATACATGTTTTCGTTTGTCAAGATATGTCAGTATACTCTCTAATTAAGTAAATGGGTCATTAGAGAATATTTCAAACTCAGTCGTGCATGTTTTTAGTGAGAAAGAAAAAGAAAAAGAAAAAGAGAAAAGAAAAGAAAATGTGTCTGACTTTGGGTCAAAATTAACCAGAGCCCAGGCAAAATTGTTTTAGAAAATACCCCCGATATTTAAAATGATAAAAAAAAATAATAATAATTACATTACAGTAATTATACACTTATATTTTTAACACTGAATGATAAAAAAATAATTATAAAAAATAAAAATATTGTATTATTATTACTTTGTTATCTTTTCTTATCTAATATTTCATAGTATCCTAGCCCTGACTGTTATATGGAAAATACTACCATTTAAAAGATTAGGCTAAGATTTTTATTATTATTAGCAATGACCAGTGTTGGGGAAATTTACTTTTAAAAGTAATGCATTACAATATTG